GGGAAGCCTCTGGGGATGAATCAATGAAATGACTTTTTGCTGAGGGTATCGAGGGTGCACAAAGAGGACACAGGTTCCATGCACAAACAGGAAAGCTGTGGAAAAGAAAAATACAAGAAGTAATAAAGACCTTGGCAACAGAACTTCTGCAACTTACTGCAATGAAAACAAACTAAATCAATATGGACCACACCCCCCCCTGCAATAACTGTCTTTGATTCCTAGCTTTTCTCCTCTCTGCTTTTCCAGCAGCTCGTCTACAGATTTTGAACTTACTACGTCATTGGACATCTTGGCAGCAGACAGCCATGGGAATCTTTATTAGTGTGACAACACTGGACATGTGAGATGGACCTGGAGCTTACCTAGAAGGGGGAAGGAGGAGATGGAAGCAGAAAATGAGCATGATTTTTGAACACTTACATCCTTAAACAGGAAATACTGTTCATTAAGTTTACTTTCAGTGTATTACTTCTCTCTATAATTCTTCCACCGTATTTTGTGGTACTACGCTGCTTATCTGTAAGTTCACCACAAATGGTTTTGATTTTGAGAGATCAATTTTGGAAAGAAGAAATATTAAAAAATAAAACATAAGAACTATACGATAACCCCCACCTTGTGTTTGTATTCAGCTGCTAGGTATGAAGCAGGGATATCACTGTTTCTTCAGTCATTATGAGACATGCTGTTCAAAGAACAATGTGCCATTCCAAGGACACACAAAGCTCTTGTAGGTGTCCATTTTGGCCCATCTTGGATCCTATAACAGTTTAATTCTACTGTGAAGGAGGTATTATTCTTGAATCAGAATAGATTTACTTTCTTACTAATCCTTCTAGTTAACTGATTTTTAGTAAAGAGCTTTGAACCTGGAAAAGGCACCCATTTCTCAGGACAAGGCACAGCTTGGAGACAGGCAGCAGGAGAGGGGGAGGGCGGGGGTTCTGGAGCTGCCTCTCCCATCCCCTGGAGCAGGTACTGCTCAGCAATGCAGGCACACCAACCTTGCTGGCTCCCTCCCAGGCCCTCTGCCCCGGCTCTCCAACAGCAGCGTGTGCAGCCAGTGCCCACGTGTACATTGCAGCTGTCCAAGCTCCCCGAGCCAGCAAGAGCTAAAAGGTCAGTGAAAGGATCTGAAGTCAAGGAAGAAGGAAGGAGGTGGGGGTTGAGTCTGGGGAGACAAAGATGCCTCTGCACGTCAAAGGCAGCAGCAGAGACATCCGGCCTGAGCAAGATGGAAAACGCGAAACACTTGAGAACGGCGACACAGGGAACAACAGGCCAGGGACAGTGAGAAGGCAGAAAGACAAAATAAGAGGCAGTTGCAAAGTGAAGTTCACAATAAAACTATGAACCTTATATTGAAGTGTTCAGCTTTTATAGAAAAACATAAACTTGGTACGGAGTACATGGCAGCATATTTTTGCATTGATCACATGTTAAGTAAAAACAAAGATTGAATAGTTTGCCCTGCTAACTGTTGCTGAAAATGCATCTGAGGCTCAGGTGAGCAAAGAGATTAAGATCCCTTAACTACAAGGATGCCCACTGCTGTTTCAGCTGAGGATGTCAGCTGTTTGGGATGTTAACAGAATGAGATGATGTTACTTATTTAAAATACAGTATTTGACATCCTCCACCCAAGGTTAAAAAAACACCAAAATCTGTGAATCAGGGTTCACTGTCTGTAGGCAAAGCTGTATAATCACTAGCAAGGAAAATGGAAAACCTAAGTGAGGCATTTGTTCTTTCCTTTGGGACCTTCACCCTACACCTGTCAGAAATACGTCCTTTCAAGTGCTGGTCTGTAAAGTTCAATAAATTCACAGGCAAATCTTTTCCTGTAAAAGTAAATGGAGCCAGAGCAAGATATACCCAAGTTTGACTCCAAGTGTTGGCCATGATGCCTTTTGCTCAGGGGCTACACAAAGCACTGTCTTTCCTCCCAAGCAGGGATTCAAGGTCCAGGCAATAGACAATTGGAAGGCAGGATATGCCAGCTCGGGATGTCAGGTGCAGCCTGGCACAGAGACGCCAAACCTATTTAAAATCTTTATCTCTAGATTCCTTTGTTCACAAGCTGCCAGGTAAAACAAAGTTACTCTTCCAGAGAGTCACAGAAACTCTTCCCTGGTTCTCCTTAGTGAAATGTCATCCAATAAAGATTCAGGAGGGACTAACACCTTACATTAGCAGCATACCTTGTCAGGAGGGGTAGGGGGGAGTCTGATTCCTTGAAAGGACCCCTCTGATAGTCTGGCTACTTTCTCCATTATTTTTTGCTTCTTTTGGGATCACCTGGATGTCCCAGAAGGCATACCACACGTACTGCTGGATGAAACTGGTTCTCCAAAAGAAGTTGGCAGAATTCCTCTGACCCTTACTCTGGCATGAACTCTGGGTGAACAGATACACCCACCAGCAGGCTGGTTCTTCCAATGCCACGTTTCCAAGCTACAGGGATCGAACCCAGGCTGCAGCTACAGGGTCGCTGCTGAGTGAGCACTGACCACTGCAACACCTGTGGGAGGGGTAAAAAGGACAACAAAAGCCCCTCACATGCGCGTGCCTTCGCTGAGGCGTGACAGGTGGGAATTCTTTATTAGGCGTATCTGTGCTGAGGAGCCCGGGAAATCGCCCCTGCCTTCCCGCTACCGGCCCAGGGAGCCGGAAGAGGCTCCGCACCTGGTGCTCCTTCAGGGCTACCGCTCCTTCAGGAACGCTTCAGGCCAGATCCCGACGCCGAGGGTGAATCCCCGCATCCCGGGAGGCGCCGCGCGCGTGCCCCGTTGCTAGGCAACCGCACTCCGCGGGCTGAGCCGCCCCGGGCGCCCAGGGATGGACACAGCGCCGCCTGACTCCTGCCAGCCCCTTCCTTAGAGACCGGCAGCCCGCGCCGCCTTCTCCCCGCGCCCCAAAAGCGGCGATTTGGCCGGCGAAGTCTCCCCGCTCTTCGACCTCCGTGGGCGACGGCAACTTGTGGGACCCACGGGCAGCCCCCGGTTAGCGCCGCCGCGCCGCTCCCAGTGCTGGGCTGGGCAGGGCAGGGCAGGACAGGGCAGGGCAGGGCAGGGCAGGTGTGCGGGGACAGCGGCGCAGTGTCCACACACCCTGAGGAGTCCCCGCGGCCGGCGGGCGCTCCCGAGCCCGGGATGTCCCCGCCCCGCGGTGTCCCCGCCCCGGAAGGCGGCGGCGGCTCCAATGGGCGCGGCTGTTGCTGGGCCCTGAGGGTGACATTGGGCACGGACATGGTGGTGGCGGCGCTGGGCCGGGCGGCGGCGGCGCGGCTGCTGCGGGCCGGGACGGCCGCGCCGGGGCGGCGGCGGTGAGCGGGGCGGGCTGGGGCAACGGGGGAGCGGGGAGGGTTTGGGGTGGTGCCGGGGGAGCCCGGAGTGAGGCGGGTCCGTGCGTGTGCTGCAGCGCGGGCGGCGGCGGGGTGCACATCGCACCGCGGTACCGGCAGTTCCCGGAGCTGACGCGGGCGCAGGTGATCCGGAGCGAGATCCTCAGCGGCTTCATGTGGTTCTGGATCCTCTGGCACTTCTGGCACAACTCGGACATGGTGCTGGTGAGGCCAGCGTGGCGGCGGCGGCGGGGGGGCGGAGGGCCGGGGTCGGGCCCCGGCCGCGCTCTGATCGCGTCTCTCTCCCAGGGACACTTCCCGTATCCCGACGCTTCGGCCTGGACGGACGAGGAGCTCGGGATTCCTCCGGACGACGAGGAATAGGCGCGTCCAGCGGCGGGGGCCGGCAGCACACGGGTACGGCTCCCGCCGCCCCTCCTCGCACGGCCCCGGGCTGGGCTTTGCCTTGGGAGCTGCGGGGCAGCCCCGGGATCGTGCCCGGCTCTGCCTCCTGCTGGCACCGCCGGAGGTGCCCTGCTCTCAGCGAGTATTCGTGCACTGGTGTACGAATAGTGCTGAAAGCGTTTGCCCAAGGAAAACGTGCCCAGTCTCCGTGGTACAAAGCGCAGGTGTCTGCACTGTTCATCGCTGCCTTGTCTCAGGTGCCCGAGTGCTTGAGACCAGCTAGTCCTGTTTTGGCAACATAAGCCTTCACTGTTTCAACTTGGGTTTTTTTAGGAGTTGTAGCTTAGCTGATACCAGTTAAAAATTATTTTCTTTAAGCTGTTCTTTAGACCTAGCATTACCTAACCTCGAGGACATGCGCTCTCTGTTCATAGGGAGATCTGTCCAGATGTCCCCTTAAAGGTTTGAGGCTTTTGCTTTGAGGCTTTTGCTTGTTTCCAGTTCTTTAATTACCCTGTCTTCTAAGCTGTTGTGTCACGCATTACAGCTCTAAAACCAACAGCTTCAACTACTGCTGAAGGCAGCATGGGCACTAGTGAGGGGGTCTTTCTTCTACTCTTCGTGGTGGGAAAAGGATGGGTGAAAAGCTTCTCAGGATTCTCTTCTGTTACTTTCAGGTCCCTGGAACTAATGAGGCTCTTGGAACCAAAGTTTTGGCTCCTGGGTCCTTATTTCAATAAAACTGTAAACAAAAGTCTAAGCTAAACTGTATTTATTTTTTTTTTTAAGTAGCATTTCTGGAGAATGACCACTGCAGCTTTAGACATGGGGTACTTGGGTCCATGTGAGCTTCCGTAATGCCTGCTTGATAGAGAATGTGTTGGCCCCAAGAAATAAGGTCTGTGAGTGCATAGCAGGTAACAGTCTTAACATTAAAGCTCTGCCAAATAACCAATAAAAGGGTGGAGGGATGTTGCTGCAGAAGCGGGGGAATTTACCCAGAAGAGAACTCAGACCAGCTGGTGCCAGGCTTTCCCCAGGGGGAGGGGGAATTGCCCTGAGTACATAAAAGTCCAGAATAATCCTTGTGAAGCAAAACCCTGTGCAAAAGTAAAAATTACTTAGGGCTCAGCACAGCAGCCAAGGAGGCAGTGGTCCAGCTTAAGGAAGCTGAAGGGAGGTGGGTTACTCTACAGGCATTCCTTAATTTTTACTTTTTTTTCCTTCTCTTTCCTTTCCAGAGTTACATCCTAGAGTAACTTTTTCACTCCCCTTAACTACCTTAGTTGCACTTCTCCAACTTCATGGAGAGGAGGGGTCGAACATGACACAATAAACAATCTCCTTCAGACTTTTCCATGCAGTCAATCTTTATTATAGCAGTATTCTCATATTCACATCAAGTACATAGAACTTTTTGCCTTTCATATAATACAGAGTTCTTTAAATAACTTTACACAGAAATAGTTTTCTTCAATCTGAATTCAGCTATCAAATTTTAATATGTTTTAAGTCTCCATGCTCTCTAACCAAACTGGACAATATTTCCCATTGTACAAATTTACATGAGAAAAACTCCAAAGTACAAATGAAGCGTCAACAAAAGTAAAGGGGGAAGGAACAAACAAGAAAAAGAAGTTGTATTGGCAATTACAGGGGAAACTTGAAAAGGAACAAAGGGGAGTTGTCATGACCTACGTAACAGGAAACCGAAAATAAACGTTTTGTTACGAATTAAAAAATAAATACAAGTTTCAAAACAATTACTCAATTGTAGATTTTTAAAAAGCAGCTATGGAAATCTACTAACACAATTGGGTTTTTTTTTTTAAGTAACCAGACTGGACCTTCTACTTTGCAGTCATAAGCCCCTTGCAAACCTCTGGTGGTCAAAAAAAAAATACAGCTGAAAGGAATGTGTTAGCACAGAGTTTTAAGTGGTGGGTCAAACATTTCATTGCACTAAGGAACAAACAAACAGGAGAAATTAAATCTGTATATAAATTTCCCTTTCCTCTCCTTACTACATACTTTGCCTCTCATAAACAAGCCTCTGTATTATGAGGTAATGCCATTGTCTTGACTATATATAAAAATAATAAAGTTTAAAGGATATAGATCTGGATATCTATAAACTTTAAACAAGCCAGTCCTCTCTCACTCCCCCATAGGGTCCAACTACTGAGTGCTACACCTTCTGTCCTTGCTCAGTGCATCGTGCCTCTCCTGGGCACCCCCAAGAGACCCGTGCCCCTTTCCTAATCTAGGAAAAGCAGCCTGTGCTCAGGTGAGACAGAGAGACAGTGCAAGTAATGCACCACAGATCACACACCCCCACACCTGCTCCTGCAGAACAAGGCAGAGTCACAGAAGGCAACAGTGGCCAGCCTGCATGTGTGTTTGGACAGGGGAAAAGGGATCCAATTAGGCGTGATGGCTGATGACTTTTGCAATTGCTTAAGAATAATGTCACCTGCCCAGCCCTGGGAGACTGTCACTAACACCCAGAATGAGGCAGGGAGGGGAGTTACAACTGGAGGACAGAGGGCCAGGAGGAACATTGTACTGGGAGTCAGGATGACCACGGCAAAGGCGGGCTGGCTCCTGCATCCCAGATTGTGGCAGACCCTGCTCTTAGAAGCAGGGTCAGCACTGGATCCCAAAGGGTTTTCAAGGGTGGCAAGAAATACGAGGCAGGGCTTTCCCCAATCCCAACAAATGAGATCAGAAGAACAGCAATGTTAATTTGGGTTGCCAACACATGCAAGTTGGCCACTGTCAGGTTTCTGTCAATTGAGAAGTGTGGAGAAGAGGGTAGGAAGGGGAGGCAGATAGGACACAAGGCTCATGAAGGAATGATGTGCTTTTTTTTTGGTTGATTTTTTTGTTTGTTTTTTTTCCCCTAAAGGTTCACAGCTTTGAATAAAAAAGCACAATTATTGCACTTACACATTTTAGACAGAGTTAATTTAAATTATGCCCTCGCTACCCCCCACCATCCCAAAACAACCCAACACCCAAGTTTGGTCCATTTTTCCCCCCTAGACCCAACATCCACGCCCAGATGATGGGCTTCATTTCTTCTCCTAATTTTCCACGGAACTCCCAAACACTCAGATGGATTTTCTTTTCAACTAGAGTGAATACACAAATGCAACACAGAATGACATTTATCAAAACAAAACCTGACCATTTCCCAAATCCAAACAAAAAGAAAAAAAGAAAAAAAAAAAAAGAAAACATAATTATTTTTTGTGGTTTACTTGCTCAAAATTAAATGTCACACAAGGCTTATTCAAAGTACAGCTGCTGCAAACATGACAAACCAGACAAAATGATGGCCTGGCCACTGCTGGCTCTTAAGGAGACTGGATGAACTAAACACACTGCTGCTGGATGCTATGAAGCAAACACCTAGGTAGTTTAGAAGTTTCTGAACCCTCCCATCAACTCCCTTCTCTTAGGGAAAGAGTTTCTTTGAGATTTTCTTAAACAAATAAACCAAACCAAGAAAATAACCACCGTCTCACATGTACTTTTAGTACAGAATCTGGGGTAGGTAGAAGTACTCCAGATAGTTCCTGGAACATGATTAAAATATTTTTACACTTTGCTTTCTAAAAGG